AAAAAAAAAAAAACATATACCTTGTATATCTTTACAAGCAATCTCTTTTTCTATAAATTGGCTCTGTTCAGAGTCTTGTTTATCAGATGCATCCTCTGTGGTTTCTACCAGGATGGCCTTTTCGGGCTGAAGATCCATCAGCTTTGTGATCGTTTCCGCAGTCTTTCCTTTAGCCAAAGCCTCCAACCATTTTCCAAGATGAATAAAGGTGATCAATAGAACCGAGGTTTCAAAGTAATTCATGCTCATTGATCCCGAGTTAGGACGTACCATAGCAGCAATCACAGAAGCAACAGAGGCTATATAAGCAACAGATGTACCCATAGCAACCAAAGTTTCCATATTAGCCGTTCGAGCATATACAAGGGATTTATATGCTTTGATATAAAATGACTTCCCTAACCAGAACTGTACAGGAGTAGCCAACAAAAAGAGAACCAAATCCGCAACGGTCAAACCATGCGTAATTTCTTTCATCAGGCTCATCCTGATGTGATTGAAAGAAGGCAGAGCCATTAAGAAGATCATGGCAATCAGAATAACGGGTATAGCAAATAATAAGGACCATAAAAACCTTGATCGTAATTCATGAATTTCATGATCCATTGCCTCTTTCATGGAAGCCCGCTGTTCTTCTAATGTTTCACCATGAGCGTTTTGGGCGAGCTCAGCTTTATATCCAATCTGTTCCACCATCTGTGCCAAGCTACGAGCACCAATAATGTCTGGGTTATGCTGGATTACGGCAGATTTGGCCAGAAGATTGACATGGCAGCTGACCACACCGTTCAGTTTCATCAAGGTTCGTTCAATATTGGCCACGCAAGAAGAGCATGTCATACCTGTGACTACAAGATGTGTTGAAACCACATCTTTTTGATCCGTTACTGTATTTGTGTCAGGACTTGTGCCAGAGGTTTTTGTAATGGTGATACTTTCAGCAGAAAAACCAAGTTGGATGATGGCTTGACGAGTCCTTTGACGAGTGATAAACTCGCCAGTGAATTCAAAGCTTGTATGACCATTCTTGAGATCGATTTGGATAGAGTCCGTCTTGATGCCATATAACTTTATTAGAGAGGAATGGACCTTCTCGATACACTTGGGACAATGCATTCCTGTGATGATCATTTCTGCTCTATAGCCGGACTGAGACACCGTGTCCTTGTTTGAAACAAGCTTCTCTTGTGTAGTAAACACAACTTTACTTGCAGTATATCCCAAATCATCAATAGCTTTTGTCACTGTTTTCTCATCCAATGAGGCATTCTTGGTTGAAAAAGTTCCAGTTTGAGTCAGGAGGTTGACTTGAACTGTTGCCGTGTCAACACCAGGTAGTTTTTCAAGCCCTCTTTCGATCGTCCGAACACAACTTGAACATGTCATGCCTGAAATTTGAAAGGTGACTTTGGTTACAATTGATTGAGATAACTCATCCACCAGAACAGATCCCAACGATAAGACCGAACCTTTGGAGCCCATGGTATCCGAGTTAGTGGCAACAATGGGAGCAGGAGGAATCAAATTTTGAATGATCTGAATGTTTTCAACAATAAAGCCTCTATCCTCAACTACTGTCTGGATTTGATCTTTATCAGGTTTGGTGCAAATAAACATGACCATTTCAGTCTGAAGGTTTACATAAACAGAATTGGGTTCTACATCAGGCAGTTCGCTCTTTAGGGCATCAGTCACCGACATAACGCAAGACTGGCAAGTCATACCCAGGACACGCATCACGACCTTTTTCTTTTCTTGTATTGGTTCCTTTTCTACACTATAGACTGTCGAAGAGCCCAAAGTAGATACCTTTGACAAACGAGAGCCAGTAGATGCCTTGGTGATATGAGGACGGCTGGTTACGCCATAACCCAGGTCTTCAACAACTTGTTCGATCATATCGCTTGTAAGCGAGTCACCCGTAAATCTGAACCATGCTTGACGTTTTTCCAGGCTAACATCTACTGAATCTTGCAGGACACCAGGTAAGGATTTCAATGCATCGGTTACTGTCTTTACACAATGTCCACATGTCATACCAGAGAGCGAGAACAGTACGGAACTTGCTTCATCATATGTGGTGTCTGTATCCATTTCTCTTTCTTCAAAAGTCACTTCATGGACATTATAGCCCAAGTCTTCAATTGTGTCTTTCAGTGATGCCTCTGTGACGGTACAGCTGTTCTTTTTGGGAAACACCATGGTAGCTTGCTCTTGGTCAAGTGATACATGAACTGAATCCGGATCAATTGAGGGTAATGCCTGAAGAGCATTGGTAATAGTACTTGTACAGTGCGAGCAAGTCATTCCGCCAATAGACACAGTGACATAAAGGAAACCATCCTTATGTGTATTTTCTTGACAAGGTGAATCATGTACCAATTCAGGTGTACCTGAATCATAGCCCAAATCCTCGATTGTCTCGGACAGCATACGCTTGAGGTCACTCTCGGGTCGGTTCCTAGTTTCTCTGAATTGAAATATAGCTATTGCATTGTTTAAATCAACATCCACAGTATCACTGATGATTTCCGGGATATTCTGTAGTGCTTTTGTCACGCTTTCCACACAATGCTAGAGATCGTACAAGATCAGTAAAGAAGTTGAATTAGCTTGTTGATCTGCTTACATTGCATGTCATTCCATTGACTTTTATTTTCACTTTGTATTCTGTCATTGGCCTATTTGTTTTCTATAATGAATCCTTTATATGTTCAAGGTATAATAAATCATTAGAGAAAAAGGGAGAGAGAGCTTTGCTTTTATATGATTTTACGTCAAATCTTAAAAAGGAAATGTGACCACTGTTTAGGCCAAATGAGCAATTAATGCTGCTGCCATATCAGGTTACACAATGCAGCATGGTCTTTTCTTCTACTCTACAGCAACATTAATAATCAGACAGTACTGCCTCAGGTTTGCAAGTTTTTAACAGTTTAGTCAAACATAAACTCAATGTTAGAAGAATCAAACGCCTCAAAAAATTAAGAGACTCGAAAATAAATTTGTCATTCATACCAATCTCTTTTGTTCTCATTGCAACTAAAAACATCATGGGATATGCCTTTTGCAGAGAGGAGACAGTTTACTATTCCTTGATCTTTGAAAGTATTTGCCAAATGCCGTTCTACTCTCGCAATATCTAGTCATTAATTAATGAAAGATCAACTTGATTGCTATCGGCTAGATAATAAAATGGAAGCCGATCAAACAACCAACATTGAGTGCAGCAATGATAAAGCTCAGCAATTTCAACTAGACACCTGCATATTTCAAAAATGTCCAACCCTTAAAAGGATCGTCCTTGCTCATAAAGAAATAGTACTTATCAATCAAATACCATTTGGCTTACTTATTGGTTCCTTCTGCGTACTCTTGAGGATAGCCTATTTAAATGTATTCAGTTGATATTATTAAAAATTATATCTGGTTGAATCTGCTGCTTAATTGTAACTGAAACTCGTGAATATTTTGAATATTGAACCTTCCATAGAGCTCTTCAATGGCTGTAATAACCTCTTCATTTCTAGTGAAAAATCTGTCCAAGCACCAAAATAATTTTTGAATGATCCTTCGTTTCAATTGGAAATTCTAGGAGTAAAATATGTCACGAGACCCTTACCACTCAAGCAGGCACAATTAGCTCAAGCAAGAGAAAATAGAGAAACGATTATTGTATTACAAAATAAGTTTCACGTGTTGGCGCTCCAATAGAGTTTTGGTGCGACAATAGCAGATCAGCTAGCTCTACTGTTAACTATGCGATATGATTTTAAGAGCGTGTATTGTGAAGAAGAATATACCAGTTCATTTGTCCTATCAGTAAGAGTAATATAAATACTAGATTTCACACCCTCTGGTAACACTTGATTGTTAAATTGGCCGAACGAAAGGTGTTTACTGATACTAAGAATATTTAAATTTTAGAGTAACAGTGAAGGCAGTACCTTCCTTACACAATCTTCGACTTTGCAATTTTCTGTTACCATGGTCTTCTTATTGAGTTTTGATTTACCCAATTGTCACATTTGACTTCTCTTCATATCACTGTGGACAAAATTCATTGAAAATAAATCACCTTTCTTTTTCTTTTTCTTTTCTGAAATAATAAACAAATAATCAACTCAAAATGACTTTATTTACAGATAAAAAAGTCAAGGGCGATGACGAATCTGACAAGAGCTCCATTCGTTTATCTGAATCAGTACAGTTCCAACGTGATGATATCCTGATCTGCGCTACCCATGGAAAGATATATGCTATACATAAGAGAGATGGTACTAGACTCTGGAGCTCAAAATTCCCAACGGGCGCGTCAGGTGGTATAGTCGCACTCTTTGTTACGGACTATGATAAACTGATCGCTGGTGCAAATGGTAAAACCGCCTGCTTAGATCTGATGACAGGGGAGACATTGTGGGTGAATAAGATGCCTGGATTTGGATACTCTGAGGTCTCAGTGATCAGTACACCTAGTCGATTTTTATCTCCCAGGGAAGGATTCCAAAGCGTTGAACCACCTGGATATAACGAACCATCTAACCTGGGAAGACCCATCATCCTGGCAGCCTCAAAAGGTAAAATCATGGCTATTGATAGCTACAGTGGCGAAGAGATGTGGAGATACAATTGCCCAGGCGGCTGGTACAATATACCTGTTTCGATTATAGAGCCACCCAGTTTAGAGCATGGACGACCTGAACAACTTGTATATGTCGGAGCAGGAAAGTGGGTGTACTGTTTACGAGCACAAACGGGCGAGGTCGTATGGAGCTGCAAGGTCTCAGGCGCTATGTTTGGACTGAACTACATGACACTGGCCACACCATGGAGCTCTCGGCTTGCTGCTGAAGCATATTCTGCATTTAGTCAAAACCCTAGTGCTCAAGCAAGAGACTGGGAAAGAGAAAAAGAGAGAAAAAAATCATTATACAGAACGAAAAGAGCAACAGAAGCACAGCAGAGATCAGTTGTGGCTAGCTTTCAAAATTTCTACGAATAAAATATCTAACTATTCTAACACTCGAGTCAAACATAATACTCTACAGTGGGGAAATGCTATCTTTTACTTTGTCTGTACTGGGCCACACAGGAATATACGATTAGGAGCCCTCCATAATAGGTAAAAGGATCTCGTTCATGGAGCCCAATAGACTCTCTATGGAGACAGGTTCCACAGCCTTCAGCTTAACAGCTGAGGAATATACAATTACTATATCTTTACAATAATGTGAGTAATAAGTTCAAGCACTTATCAGTCAAGCTTTCTTCCTTAAACTGTAATAGTTTAGTGAAGATCAACAACCAAAAAAAAAAGTTCACCTCGATAATTATAGAAGAGAAATGCTGTCAACCGAATGTATATTAGATACGACGCGTTATCAACTACTACAGACTACAGATACTATGAATTAGTATTATAGGCTTAATAATAATACCGTATAAACAAGATGATTTTGGCTTGTGTACAAAATATAGATTGATTATATTACGTCAAAGGGCGTAGTTTTTGATATTAACATAGAAACACGGCAACGATGCAATCTGAGGCCATGAGACTTTGTTATGCAGAGATCAGGACACTGCACGGATGGATTGGTAAAAATTTTTCTTAGCTTCAAGAATGCTAGTATTTGTGGTCAGGAGGGTCAAAGAGACCACACAAGAACGGCTCAATGAATGGCAAGCAGAGCTCAGCCCTGTTGACATTCTCCTGTATAGCAGCCCTGAGTAGTTTTTAAATCCATTTTCATTAATTCCACTGTATATTAGATTATTGTGAGACTCTTACTGTTAAGTTGATCAATGATACATAATAAGGTGTGGCTGTATCCATCGGCATTGGTACAGTTCTGATGCTGTGCATATCTTCAATATAGTGGCTTGAAGTGTTTTAGAAAAAGTATCTATTTTCAATATAAATAAAGACAGCAGTAGAAGTTGTTTCAAAAAACACATTTACTTATTAAAGATTACTCCCAAAAGCCAATGCTTTGCACCAAAAGAAACCTAAAATAGAAGAAAAAATGGCCAGCAACGATGCCAAAAGACTTCTAAAAGCTCTGATTGTTGCTGTGACGGCATTCTTCGGGTCGGCCATTGACCATCAGAACAAGGACCAGGCGCCCATAAAAATCATCAGATCATCAAATACCAAGCAGCCTGCAAAGACCCGCAGTAGCAGACGTACCGTTGGGGTATACATTAGCTGAGCCGTGTCAATTGTTAACCAGCTTATATACCCCTTTGCGTCAGCCAGACAGCAGGAAGCATCAACAACAATCTGTCACAGCTGTGATCTCAGATAACTAGATTCCAACTAACTACATAACCCCTTGGGAAGATTCCAGTCGAATGTCCACAACTCTCCTTTTGGATGCCTGAAAGCCTCCAGTTGAGTGGTGAAACGAACGACCGTTGTCAGTCCAGGACACGTGTTGAGCATCATAGAAAGAGATTGCATAGAAATCCTTGAACACGCAATCATCGCCTTGCTGAGTAAGTTTTATAAAAAAATTTACATTGACCAAAGAGAGCCAATAAGACCAGAAGGAACCAAAAAGAGTAAAAGAAAAAACAAAAGTATAAAGAGAAAAGAAAGAGGGGAAAAAAGGGATGAGAGCAAATTTCTCTCTTTATATCCTTTTCTTAGTTACGTGAGATTATTGTTTTCTATGCTATCTGTAAATAAGGTTTACGCTCACGCTTTTGTTTATTTCTAAAGTGTTTCATGTCTTTTAAAAATTTGGCCTATCTTTTTTATACTTTTTGTATTTATTCAGATTATCGCTTTTATATACACTTTAATGAAGTTATTCACTTCTATTTTTATATAGTAAAAAGACTAAAAGGACAGTAAATTTCATACATCCTTTGTTTATATTACGCGTCTTTGGGCTTATTTCCTGATCTTGGTCACACACACTATTCGTGTTACTTTGCCAAGCTCTCCTTTTTTTTTTCTCTTTGACTTTTTGCTAGTAAAGACTAGATAAACACTACTTATAGTAGCTGTTATATGAAGCATGTTATGCATAAATCAAAAGATTGGCGCAACCAGGAATGGTAATAACAAATGATAGACGCGTTCCGAAACCCTGCTAACCCATGAAAAAAATAATAACTTTATTTTGAACAAGTCAAGATGCAGACAACAAGAAAAGGTAAGGATATATGCTCTGTGCCCTCAAATAGGGCATAGCAGATGAAGCAAAGGCTTCTAAATGCTCTAAATATCACAATACACTTTGTTATCTGCGGTTCACCCGTTCTCGTACCTACTATCGTGACATCTCTAGATCTACTAATAAGCATTATGTTTATACGCAGCTCATTGCACGAGTCAAACAAGGGGCATGACAATCTTTGATCTTTCACAGGCTCGTATCGCCTAATGAGGTGGATGATCGCAATGGCGGTATCTTGCTCATCCCCCCTTTTCCTGGTATTCATGTTGTGCTGTGAATGTGATGTATTACTCTGCAAGCATTAACAGTGACTGATTGCTGAAAGTGATAAATTGATTGATTCCGTTTATTTCCAGGAATTCATGCTCACTAAACATAAGCACAGTTTCATACGGCTTCTCTTGCTGAGATCTAATTCCATCTCTCTATGGTTTACTTACGATTGAAGATGTAGCAAAGAACTCTTTGTCAAACGTTTCCAATTTCACTGGAATAATTGGAGAACAAGGCAGCTGAAAAAGTTACAAGGCAAGCAGGATTGCATACTTTTTCAATGCAGGCATTATAACATTCTATCTTTGCTTTTATCGAGCACTGAAACACAAATAGGTAATCTCCAAGACGAAATAGCTGAAACTGAGAGCCTCAAATCAGGAAGAGTTTGATTAGAGCAAAGTGAGGAAGCTCCTGGATTTATTATACACTTAATCAAAACACGAGAATTTCAACGCTATATTTCTGCCCTGTATCATCCTAAAAACAGTGACCCATGTTTCTATCAAGCAAGCAAACAGAACACCGCTGAATATTGCTACACCTAGCTGCATTCACCTGATCCCATGGATGAACTAGCTCTAGAACAACTTCTGACCCATCTATCAGAACCCCTACGCCTTAGTGAAGATCAGCATGATGCTCTATCCACCTGATAACCACAAAAGAGGCTATCCAACATAACCAACGGCCACCAAGCAAAGCAGTCCAGAGAGTGGCGGCCTGTCTTACGAAATCCTGAACTTGCTTATGGCGTGCTCATTATTTCACCTGTTTATACACGAACCTTATAGTAACACACTTCAACGTAACCTTTTTCTTGGAATGAATCCATTATGTCTCTCCTCTCCAAAAAGGGTGATCTCTCTCAATTGAGGAACTATCGCCCAATCTCCTTTATTAACACAGATGCTAAGATGTTTACTAGAATTACTAATGGTAAATTTATGAAAGTCTATAAGTATATTACCTATCAGCATTAACTTGGGTTCGTTCCTGGCCGTTATATTGCTGAAAATAGCACGATAACCCAAATCATTATGGAAAATGCTTGTTCCTCTAGGAACGCTGGCAAAGGCAGCTCTTGCTTTGCTCCTTGATCAGGAAAAGGCTTATGACCGGATCAACCTGAGTTATCTTCGCCAAGTTCTTCAAACCTTGAGCTTTCCCGGTTCAGTCATGAACCCTGATATTGCTATGATGGCCAATTTCTGGGAGTGTAGAGCTTATCAGATGCTGTAAGCTAAGGGTATAGATGGGATGAACTCACGTATTGCAGACGAAACAGTATTATCTGGTCAAAACAGTGTCTCCCAGCATTATAAGTCTAGCGACATGGTAGAAGAGATATGATAAGATAAATTGTTGAATATGAAAGCATCCAGTATGCTGGTTGGCCTCTGTACGAAATAGAAATGTTTAATATCCACCGCGTTGAAGAATTCTTCTAAACTTATTGCCAATAGCAGCCGTCTAATTTGGTAAAGCTGATCGAAACAGGGATTCAGCTAGCGTTTGAATATGCTTGACTAGAATCATGGTCACACTTTCCGTGAACGTTTTCTTTACAAAAAAAGAGTTAAAAATCAATAGATCCTTTTCCATGTGTATTAAATATAAATATTCGCCAAGTAAAGGAAGGATGAGGAGCCCATGATTTAATAGCTAAGTAAAAATGTGAATCTATGAAAAAATAATTATTGTCTAGAATTAGGTTAATGTATTATGAACATCTCAGTAACTTTTATATACGCAACATAAATTATGATACCCTATTCCTTGCTTTAAAATTAGATAGAGAATATAGAAAGCATGAAAGCCAAGAAATACATTAAAATAGAGCAAATATTCTATACAGAATCTATAGAATACAAGAATTGCTTATACTCTTACGATTAATTTATGCACAATGTAAACAATATCTAGTAGTACTACTGACTCAATAGCAAGTGCTTATTATTTCTATTTATCACAGCTTTCTATTTAAACAAATAATGATATAAGAGCTGATACATACATTTCGGAAATATAACTAATTAATAATCAAAGTTTCAATCATTAATATCGAGTGCATCAATCTGACATTTTCAGTGGTTATCGATACAACACCTCACCCCTTGTGCAAAAGATTCAGGATGATTATGTATACTTGATATCAGTTTAAAACCGCTTATCCATGACTTTATCTCCGTCATTATGGTTTATCCGTCAAAGTAGTTATCACTTGTATGATCTTCTTGGATAGCATGAATTGAAACTAGTTAATAATAACAACTATAATAATAGAAGCAATAATGTTATTATTATTTACAACAGTGAGATGACAGACATCATGGTTAATTAAAATGGGTTATACAAATAATGACATATCTTGGGCTGATCATTTTGACTGCGGTGAATGGTATACAATGACCATTTATGGCCATTTGTTGAGAAATAAGGAGACAGAAAAAGCGGAAGTGAAAATAAATAGAAAATTAGTGAAATCAGTCCAGTAAAAAAAGCAACAACAAAAAAGTCTCCTGACAAGTTAAAACGAGACAAGAAAATGAAAAAGCAAGTATACTTACTATATACATACACCTATAGAGTGGTTTCATTACGTGGGCGTACTAAAACAAGCTATATCTGTATGCATGACATGATATCTGTTTGTGAAGCATAGATGGGAGAAACAGAGAAAGAAACAGAAACAGGGACTGTAGCTGTGATGGCCACGTGCATTATTATTGGCTTAGATTTGACAAGATAAATGATGAAAGCATGTTCAAAGCAAGCTGGAGTATAGAGCATTAAGGACACAAGATGAACATTAATCTCTATTAGACTCTATTAGGACTCTATTAGAGCTTTATTTATCATTCTATATTCATCGAAAGGGTATATTTCATACGTGTGAAAAGGGTCCTTATGTAAATTAAATAGGAAAATTTCCATTTATGATAGCTTATCAATCTGTACACAAATGCATTTCCATATAAATACACCTTCTCCTTTTTATTTCACTCCTGTTTTTTTTATTGATCTTTTCTCTTCTTTTTATCTGTTATCGTTGTATGCGACACTTTTTAAATCAACGCTTTTTGACAAATAATCAACACGACTCTCAATGGAACTTGAATCATTTGTGTGATCATCTCTTTGATTCAATACCTAACATAAAGATTGATAGTCCTATTGATGAACCACTCACGAGAACAACTGGTATATTTTTGTCATAATGACTCTTCTTTGCATCTCATTCATTTCTCTCTTATTTGACAGACATTACACACTCATATTCTACAAGTCCATCACTCACACCTGCCTCATCTTTTTCTACTGATGATAATACATTCATTGAATCCCATCAAGAACAGCTTGATAATAATAGCAACTATTCATTAAATTCATGCGGTGACACTATAAAATACCATTTTAGTCAATTCCACATCACAAAACTCATTGGCACTGGTCATTTTGCCCAAGTGTATCTGGCGCAAAATACAATAAATCAAGTATGGTACGCTATTAAGGCTATCAACAAAAAGAAACTTGCTACCAAACAGCAAATAAAACATGTTCACGACGAAAAGGACGTCCTCTATTCGGCTAACCACCCTTTTTTGGTAAAACTCTGGGGCACCTTCCAAACTGATAGTCATGTCTTCTTTGTCACAGATTACGTACCTGGGGGTGAACTTTTTAGGCTTATCCGAAAGAAGAAGGTAAACAAGAAACAGAAATCCAACCTCAGATGTTATCAGAACTAACGCCATTTCCTGCTTCTCAGGGATTAACTGAGCAAGAAGCAAAGTTTTATGCTGCAGAAACTGTCTTGGCCCTAGAATATCTCCACAATAGAGACATTGCTTATAGAGATTTGAAACCGGAAAATATATTGCTAGATAGTCATGGTCACATCAAGTTGATTGATTTTGGGTTGGCCAAACGGGTCTCAGATGTCACATATACCCTTTGTGGAACTCCCGATTATCTTGCTCCAGAAGTAATACGTGCGCGTGGATACACCAAAGAGGTAGATTGGTGGTCACTTGGAGTCCTAATATATGAAATGATCGTTGGGTAACTGTTTCACCGGCTATCTTTTGTATGCATTACACTAACTATTTCTTGTTTCTGTACTGTAGTCATGCTCCCTTCACATCTAAAAACCCCATTGAGCTCTATGAAAATATCCTATTATGCAGCATCCAATGGCCATCCGACATTAGCTCTGAAGCCAAGGATCTTATACAAGGATTATTGAAAGTAAAGCCTGCTGATAGATACAACCTACAAGAAATTAAGGCTCATCCTTGGTTTGCTGATATAGACTTTGAGCAATTATCAAGTTGCAATGTAGACACCCCTAATATTCCAGATTTACAAGATAACGATGATACATCAAGAGATAATCAAGACATAGAGCCACTCTATATTTCTGATCAATATGCTCATGATGACACGTTTGCCTCCTTTTAATGCATGCAGCACACGCTGATTCTTTATCTATTTATATTTATATTTTTTGCATCTCTCTCATACACAGCATTTATTTATATATATATTTATATATTCTTTCGGATATATCATCATTTCTGTAAAATACATCCTCCAAATAAACTATATATACACACTGCTTCTGTAATATTTACATATACGTATACAGTCTATCTCTTTTAACAATAGCAGCTTTACTTTTATAACATGGGTATCTACATCATCAGTCTCGTCTACA